GGCGTGACCCGTCTCTCTCACCCAACCTGCTGTGTGTTTGCAGATGCTAGTGGGGTGAGGTTGACAAAGGTGGTGTGGACCTCAGTGAGGGTCGCCTCACTTGGGTGTCTGGGCTGCGCAAGAAAGAGACTGTGGATCTGTTTTTGTGCTTATACCCTTACAGTCTCTCTGCTTATACTCTGAGAGTCCCTGTAAGTGTCTCTCTGTAAGTGTCTCTCCACGTCCAATCCCCTCACTCCAAATGTCATAAGCTGCCCGCTTTCCTGGGCCAACATAGACCGAGTCCTGGTAAACTGAGGCAATTGATCCAGTTGATCAGTCTAGAGTTGATATATGCAAGATAGCATTTCTGTTTGTTTAGTGATACGATTTGTGTTTCATGGTAGAGCAGGTGGTTCTGAAGATGTTCCATACTAACGTTTACACGGTCAGCACTAGAAAATCATAGATGGTTTGCGCCTTGTTATATTTCCAGGTTGTGGACCACACTATTAAAGAACCCCACCCCCCCACACACACACACATGTTAAAACGTTCTCAGTGATATTAATGTGCAGCAGGTTGGAGGACCAGAAATTGAGATTGGCTTTCTGAGCCTCTTGGCTGGAGCCCAGCTTCTGAATTTGAGGTGAGAATTGAAGAGAAGCCAAAAGGGAAATTGAAAGTAAAAAGGAAACAAGAAGAGAGTGTTCTCCATATTTGCTTTCTCTGTGTTTTCTCTCCCTATATTGAACTCTCCATCGGAGGGCTTATGATAGAGTGACATTGTCTCAGCCCCGTTGGAAGTTCCTGATCTGTGAGCGTGGCCTGATGTGTGGGCACTTCTAGCTTAAACCCCAAGGACCTTGACCTATGTGTCAGGTGCTGATAACTTAACAGCCTTGGCCGTACAGACACTGTGAGCCCTTCCTCCCTTCTCAGAATCCCGAAGCAGAGAAGGACATGAAGGCCGCTGTGATGGTCTTACAGATAGGCAGAGGGGAACTTGGAGGACTGGTCCGTGTTGGCAGGAAGAGTAGATGGCGGAGTCAGGACTCCCCCAGGCCTTCTGACTCCAGGTCCAGCATTTTCTTCATAACAGTCACATCAGTGCTGGAGGAAAATACCGGAGAAAGCATTCGTACTGTGACGTCCACTACAATAAAAACATCGAAAAATAAGATGTAGTCTCTTTCCACTGACACTGTTTCTATGTGAAAGAAATCTTGAAATATTTAAATGCAGAGTATATTCATATTAAACACTTCTTTTTGAGGAAATGATATTTATCATGCATTAAACTATAGAACCAAGAGAGGTGGCATGAAATCCAAATGCATAATAAGAAAAAATAAGGCACTTTATTTAGATCATAGCTATGTTACTTCAAGCGTCATTATTTCTCTAGGGGTAGAAAGAACAATAAACCTATCGCCATCCAGTTGACGGAGACTCCTCGGCACGTGAACCTTGTCTTTGCACTGTAATGGTTTGGACTCTTGTTTAACAGATGAGGAAGCCTGGTTCAGGGCAGAGAGGAGAGTTGAATCCATTTTGTTCTGGCCTTAAGGCCTGTGCCATATTTTCTATAAGACCTCATAGTACGATGGCTAAGGGATTGTGCCACAAAATCAGACATCCAAACTCTGACACTTAAAAAAAACCACAGTTAGTGACCATGGGGAAAGGATGAATCTCTTCCTTTCCTATGGAACGGGGCAGGTCACACTCATGTCTGTTTCCCGAGGTGTATCCGAGGAAAGTAAGTGGCGAACACAGACCTGAGTTAGAGTGAGCACTCAACGTCGTCAGCTGTGATTACAATCACCTGAAGTCTTCGGATGCTGACGCTCCACACATGCACAAACCATTGTCTTATCTTCCATGTCCACATACTTGGATGTCTCTTCTGGGAAGCTTGTAGGTCCGTGGACCCAGTAGATGCAAAGTGAACTCTCCGGCTCGCCCCTCCCTCAGTTGTGTGCCTTTTCTCCTCTGTTCCAGAATTTTCTTTGTGACTGAATAGCATCCTTCTCACTCTGAATTTTCCAGCGTCTCTCAAAGCTTGTTTGCTCTATGCTAACCCCTGACTTGGGCTCTTGATTCTGTTGTTCTGCTTTCAGTTGCTTCTAGGGTAAGGTGACCAGACGTCCCGCTTTTTGGCATTTTAAAAAAGTCCCAGTTTTTGGAAGGAATGCATGACAAGCTCTGGCACGATCTATTTGGTCCATATAGACCAAATTTTTACTCAAGAACTCCTCCCCTCCCCCGTCAATGGTGTCCCACTTTAAATCTAGTCACCTTATTCTAGAGTGGTCTTTCGCAATGCCTATCAGGGCACATCACTGTTCTACACAGAATCTGTCATGGGTCCTTGTTGCCCTCGGGAGGAAAGCACACCCATGTAAAGCTTACCTCGCTGTCCAGTCTCATTTCTGACCTCTTCGTTTTCTGAGAGCCCCAGATTCTCCAAGGTAAGTGTTAGCGGGTCTCCCCCGATGGGCCTCTTCCTCACCAAAATAACTCCCTTTTCTGCTGAGTTAGGCTTCACTTGGGCTGAGTCTATAAGGTGCCACCACGGTTTACAAGGTGCTGCCCAGCCCTTATCCTGCAGAATGGAAGCCTTATCTGTATAGTGGCTTGTCTCTCAGCTAGATTATAACCTGCTTCACCCTTATCCCTTAGCACACGTCTTGCTGGGATTCAATAAAGAATTTCCTCAAAGGTTTTTATAGCTGTTTAGTAAAGTATTCTGACATGGCTGTCCCTTCTTCTTGGGAATGACTACTCCCTCTTGATCTATTAATGGTGGTGCACGAGCACTATTAAGTGCACAATGCTGTCCATCATTTGTTATTATCCACCGTTAGCTGCCTTGGTGCTGTCAGTACAATCAAGCTCAACTTCTTTCTAGCATTCGCTGCTCTCAGTCACTACTTGTCTGCCTGTTTGTTGTACTAGGGCACCCTCCATGGTGCTGTGATCCAGGAAATTAGGCCACTGGTATTTCAAATTCCAGCATGGTCCCCAGTGGTGGGCAGATGAGGAAGAAGGACCTGGTGACCCACTTCTAAAAGAATGAATCAGGTGAAGCGTGAATTCACTGAAATCACAAAAGAAATACATTCGCTCGATTTTAATCTTTCTCACCCTCAAAGTCATTCTTTCAGTTTGAACGTTTTTAACATTCTGGATTCCTATGTTCCTTGAGGCATTTAGTAGGACTCTGCACAAGATTGTCATACTCATTTTCTTCTATGGCCTTTCAAAGGGCGCCCTG